GTTGCTGTTGGAAATGGACAAGGTAATGAAGATTATCAATTAAGTGAACCACAAGATGTGATTATCGATAAAGAGAATGATAGTCTCATCATATGCGAATATGAGAATAGAAGAGTAGTTCGATGGCCTCGTCGAAATGGAACAAGTGGAGAAACAATCATCTCCAATATCGATTGTTTCGGTTTGATAATGGATGAAAATGGATTTCTCTATGTCGTTGATCTTGCAGAAAATGAAGTGAGACGATATAAAATTGGTGATACTCAGAGTACAGTAGTTGCAGGTGACAATGGGCAAGGAAATCTTATTGTATAATGAAATGGGAAGAATATTCAAAACAAAGTGTTACTGTAGCTGGTGGTCAAAGAAAAGGAAATAGTCTTACAATTGTACTATCCTCAAGGAATCGTTGTCGATCAATTGGGTACTATTTATGTGGCTGATTATTTTAATCATCGAATTATGCGTTGGCCAGAGGGAGTCGTTCAAGGAACTGACATTATTGGTGAAAATGGTAAAGGAGCACAGTCGAATAAACTTAAATATCCCGTAGGCTTATCATTCGATCGATATGGTAATCTCTATGTCTCTGAATATGAAAATCATCGAGTACAAAAATTTAATATTGAATAAACTCTACTTGAATAACAATTTTTTGATTCATTCCTTTTTGTTTTCTCTTTCAAATAAATCGAGATCGTATGAAAAATGCAGGATCCTGAAACAGTTCCAAAATAATTTTCTGGAGTCGCTCAAAGAAACATCGGCCGTTTTATCGTATTTATTGTTATTCAACTATGCATTTTTCTAGAGAAAGGGTGGGTGTAGATGTAGGCATCGGTAAGAGGAAACATCTGACTCATATCCACATCCACCTAAAATAAGAAATACTTTTTATTAATTATTACATTTTCTTCTAGATAATAATGAAAATATTAAGATTTACGTTTCTTGGAACTCTTTTACGTGAATATGCAAACAAATATGAACATCCAAGAGAATAATTGATCCTTTTGGTTTATTGAGCTTTTCTAAGAAGACGTTTTTTTTAATTGTCAAGGATGATGAACTAAGAAATACTGTTTTTTTGAGATGTCAGTTGGAATTACTTATTTTCACGATAGAGTGGATGTGGGTGGAGTCTGAAAGCATAAATTCCACACCCTCGTATTGGCTGGAAGAATGGTAGTTTTTTTTTCATTCTTGTCACGCAATAACATCAGGAATGATGCACTATTTTTTCATCGTCAATACAATCATTTTTTTTCTCTGTAAATATGAGTGACTCAGTATTGTGCAATGTTGAATTGTCACTATATGTAAAGAAATAAAATAGCTATTCTATTAACAGTCTATAGATGTATTTAAAGTCGTTCATATTCTTGTACATTCATTCATTTTATCAAATTTCATCAAGCACAATTCAGAAGGTAAATATTGGAAAAGATCTTGTATGTTTCTTATCGTGATAAACCTAACCTGTAATGATACCCTCTATTAATATCGGCGGCAGAAGTCAGTGAACTCGGATGGTTTTTAAAATAACTTTCGATAGGAACAACTAAAAGATCTCCGGTTATCAGCAATCGATATAGGACTATAGGAGGCACATTTTTATATAAAAACCAAGGTTTAAATAATCAAGCACAATAGGAGTCATGAGCGGCGTGTCAGCATTACAAGTGGCTGCAATTGCGATCCCTAAAAATAATTTGGGGACGCAATTTTTTGTGCTTTCTTTGTAAACCATGGGTGGCGCAGTAATGTAAGGGAAAGCAACAAACCTTTATTGCTTTTCCAAGTTTTTCGTGCTTCTTTGATAAACTGGAGTAAAAATACATATCTCAACATAGATTCTATACGTTTTCTAATTAAAATAGAAGGACTAATTCATCGGCCATTATCTTATGAATTTTTTCTTACTATCTTGATGAATGAATTTACGGTTGTATACATCCGACATGCTTTATTGAAGTAAAATATAGTCACATTTCTATACTATTTTTGAGATCTTATTTTAAAGTAATCTATGTATAAAACTCATCAGTAGAACAAAAACACTGATGCAATTAAGAAGGATCAAAATGTATCTTCGGAATACAACTGGCCAAAAGTGATTATCATCTTTGGCATTGATAAATATAGAAAAAGATTATCAAATTAATTTTGACGCTCTTGCAACAGATTTTGTATCGAAAAACAATGAAAGAAAAAGAATATTTTGAAAATAAATAAAATAATAGTAGAATAGTTTATGAGCGAGAATGAATTTGTTACTGTCATTAATATTCATTTGAAAATGCTTAGTAGCGCTCGAAGAGTAGAAGTAGAATACGTTTATGAGTGAAATAAATTCATAAGATATCATGCAGTTCTAAAATTAAATAATGTTATTAATAATAATAATACCATATAAAGTACTAATTTTCCAAAGATAATTTCGAAAAATGTGTTGAGATAACTCCATTTGGCATATGACGGATCATTTCATTCATATTATTTTCCTCTATTTTCTGAACTTCTGACAATCAGCTAACTCAAGTTTTTATAATTATGCTTTGATCCTTAGTTGCTAAAAAGAAAAGAGTCTACTCATAAAGAAGATAAACTAACTGTTAATGTTAACAGCTGAATAAACAATCTAGAAGACAAGGTCACCACATTTTTATTGTTTCTTATGTCTATAATTACTTTGAAACGAAAGAGATATAAAAATGTCAAATAACTTTTACAATCGCATTACATGAAAAATCGAAGTATTAATGAGCAATAAATGCTGGCAACAGGATAGTTTCATTTTAAGGTTCATTACTTCCACTAAAAAATCGAAGGTGCGTCGCCAATGTACCCACCCACGCTCTTATAACTCATTCTATCATCTAAATAATCTTAACGTTAAATCACTTCTCTATTTTTATTTTCAAATTTTAGTAGAATGGCATCAAATGATTCTTCGAAACTCTTCAATGAAAATTCGGAAGCTGTGGAAGAAACCATTAATAGGGATCTATCTAAAACAGTCAAACAATTAGGGAAAGAAGCAAAAAATCAAGAAAAACTTAAGAAGTATACGGCAAAACAAGCTGCAATCGAAGCACAGGTATTTGAAAATTATAAAATAAATGTTACTTTTTTAACGAATTATTGCAATTGTATTTGAGAGTAAGAATAAAACATATATGTTGGAATTTCGTTGTTTAGAAAAAACTGAAAGAGACAACTAAAGATAAATCAAAAACCAAATCATCAATAATCAATCATGAAATAACTGAATATACATCGAACACAGCATCCGATGAAAAGAAAGGTAGACGAATATTGCCAACAATCGAGTTTTTTATCTATCACATTGTTGTGTCTGTGTTATTTCTTAGATATTCATTGTCAATTACCGAAGAATTATAGTCCGAAATATGTTGAAACAGGATGGTATGCATGGTGGGAAAAAGAAGGTTTTTTTCGACCAGAATACTACGATATGCATCCACCATTGAATATTTCATTACCTCGACAATCATTTATTATGGTTATTCCACCACCAAATGTTACTGGTTATCTTCATTTAGGTCATGCTATTATGTGTACAATAGAAGATACATTAGCACGTTGGCATCGTATGTGTGGTCATACAGTTCTTTGGGTACCTGGATGTGATCATGCTGGAATTGCAACACAGGTTGTTGTGGAAAAGAAATTGATGCGTGAACAAAACTTGACAAGACATGATTTAGGACGAGAAAAATTTCTTGACGAAGTTTGGAAATGGAAAAATGAAAAAGGTTTGTATTGCATAACAAAGAAAAGTAAATAGATATATTTATTTTTTTCTTCTCAGAGAATGTTACAGGATCTGCATCACCCTGTCGGTTGGATGTAAATCTTGTCCTACATTTTTTAGATTTTGCTCTGCATTTTCTATCTCAATGAAGGAGTAAGGTAATCTTTTTTTCGACGAGGACTACAGAACCATTCTCATGTCGCTTTTTTTTTTTATTAAAACCGTCGGTTAACCGTGGTTCGTGAAAAAACCCTCGGTTCGAGCGATTCATTCGTTTTTCATGGATTTTCGACCATTTTTTTTTCATAAAATCAGTATTAGTCTTTCTTAGAAAATCATTTTTTACTCAAAAAATTGTTTTAAATCTCTTTTAGTACATTATTTTAGATGGCACTACAATTTTTTTTATTGGTTTGTCTTCCAACTTATAATGATTTTTCCAGCTGCATCTTTAAAGAAATGTTCAAACTTGTAAATTAGGCAAAATTAGGCGATGTGGCCGATACCAGCGGTTTCAGCGCGTTTACGAACAGGGGAGAACATGAATTCGACTCAAATCTGATAGTTTTCTAAGAGTTAAAAAATATTCATCTAGTGAGAAGTAAAAATATATTAAGAAAAAGAATCACCGGTTAACCGACAGACTTATGCCGGTTTCAGCGACATGCGTTTATTAGTCCTGCAAGATAATAGGAAAAACAGCTTAGAAATCAATCAGCTACACAAAGAATGGAAATCAATAGTGATTTTCATAAGGGTCTACTTATGAATCATAGAATGATAAATAGTTATAAAATGGAAAACCTAACAAAATCAAGATTTCTGAAATATAAATTCTATTTTTATCTTATGTATATTACTATTAATATTAATAGCAGTTTTTTTAAATTTTCGTGAAATCTATCAAATGATGTATTTTTTTTCTGATTAGCACTTATTGATGATCACTAGTACAATTCATCGCACATTTGTTGCATCATATACATTAATTGAATTAAATGATTTAGTTTAGAGGATAAAGAAAATGTTTGAAAATAAAATGGTTTTCCTAAAAGATATAATAGAAATATTCATTGAAAACTAATTAAGAAAGAATTATATTTGATTGTAAATAAAATTCTAAAACATATTTTAAAGTTTAACTTACAAAAAAACAGTCGAAATTTAATTTTAAATAAAATTCTAAATTAAAAATTAAGAATATTCTTCATTGTCTTTTTAAATAAAAAAATTTACAAATTTAAATAAAAAAATTAAGTTTTTTTTATTTAATGAAAGTATAAATTTCAATTTAAAAAAATTGAACTTATTTTGTATTTTTTTACTTGGAATTTTGTTTAAAATCAAATTTAATTCTTTCTTAACTAAGTTTTAAATTAATATTTCTATTATATCTTTTAGAAAAACCATTTTATTCTCAAACAATGTTTGTCAATACGAGTAATAGGATCATATTCTAAAACTATGTCACTTAACTATTAAGAACCAAATATCCCATTTAATGAACATTTAAATAATTGTAATCAAAATTCTATAAGAACTTTGTAGACAAACAACCAATATTTTTCTTGATTGATATGATTTTCAAGATCAGACTTAAACCAAAATATAGTATTCAGATAGCTGACAGACGTACCAAAACATCTTTTAGGATTGATGACTTTTTTCAATAACATCTTTCTTCCTTAAAATTCTAGCTAATTATTCGAAAATGCGACATAAACTGTAGTTTATTTAACATTACATTCTTAAGTATCTCATTACTAATGCATCGTGGCGTGATCAATAAAATATTCCTTGGATAAAACATTCAACCTTATAGAAGGATCAAAACAATGTATTTTTATTATGAAACTTGACTCATACATAACTCTAGTGGTGTTAAGGAAGTTTCAAAATTTTCAAGAACAATGGTTGTTTTTTTCGCGAAATACAGAATGTTAGAGTTTTTAGCTGATTTTTGGATTTCGAATATCTTAGGAAGAAAGTGTCCATTTAAAGTGAAAATTTTGAAGCTTATTAAGTACGATCAAAACTACCTAAAGACAAAGTCTCAGATTGAAGTTCCTATTTTTTCGGATTTTTATAAAGGTAGATATTCCTGTCGAAGGAGGTTGCATAGATGCAGAATACGACGAAGGTAATTATTTTCAACTAGAATATGAATATACTGAAAGTCTATAACTTCTGTTTTTCTAATTGGGTTATCATTTTTATAAGTAGAAGCCCTTTCCACTCTTAAGGATTAATTCAATTAATGTATCTACTGCAATTTATCTGCGGCAAATTGTTCTCCGACGAATTGATCGGTCATCTTGTTCATCGAAACGAACAAGAGTCTCTAGTAATAAGACTAAAATAAGAGAAGTATTTACATTCAAAATACTCTACTAAACAGTTGAAGTTGATTTTTACATATTCTGATATTAATTTTCATTAAATGAATTCAAATAATGATCTATTTTCAATATCTTTTCCTCAAAAAACAAGAATACTAACTATAACTATTTCACTTGCATTTTCAATAGAATCAACATGTGATAAATCTTAAATTCTAATTTCCATTAAATAAAATTGAAATTTTGTGTTTTTTCACAAAGAAGATAAAAATGATCAAACTTAGACAGTTGAGATAAAACAGACAATTTCTATTTGACATATTTTTAAACACATATAATTGTAGTTGTTTTGCTTTGAAGTGTTATCGTTGTAATTATTTACAGTTTAATTTAAGAGTGAATTAAAAAGTAAATTCAAAATATCAAGAAAAATAATTGATAGTGAAGGGTGAATTTTTTTTATGCATGCAGCTTCTTTAGTATATGGAAAAAAAAAGTATTATTTTTTAGCAGAATAGAAATTATCTGACAATGATAATTAGATCTACATCTTGCTTGAATTCTATTTTAAATAATTAAATATACAGTTTTACTATTTTTAAAAGTAAAAATATAATATTAAACATAATATTTTTATATATAGTATAGAAATTACATTTGTAAATAAAAGAATTGAATATTAAACGAACTGGTCACATAGAGAATGTTCATTTTATTTTGAAACGATTTTCGTCGATTTATTCATTTGTTAGCACTCGATTCAGATCTTATCAATTTCATATCGATGTATCGTATAAGGACTGTACATGTTACCCTAATAATTAGATGTTGTATAGACAAGTTTTTTGTGAAAAAGCATTGGATAATTTTGAAAAGGTTATTTTAATATTTTTGAGAACAAGTATATTTAGTGACACCATTAGAAATGAACTTTTTTCATTATTTTTCCATAACTATTGTCTTTACATCTCAGATATATTCACTATTAGTTCATCAATGCCAAAAGTTTTAGCAATAAAAAGCGAGAATTCATAGATAAATCAGTAAGTGTTTCAAATATATATAGTTGAAACTAAACACATTGAAAGACTTATCTTGTCATTATTTCTGATTTTATTCAAAACTTTAGAAAATGACTACAGACGCCTGAAATATTCTTATGTATATGTAATTCTAAAATACAGTTAAGAGATTTGAAACACTTGATGATTTCTCAATATATATTACTTAAAGTTTTGGCATAGATACATTAATAATGGATATATCTGTGACATATGTCTGAGGTTAGAAGATGATAGTGTGGAGGAATAATAAAGAATGTTCATTGTAAAAAAAACTTGAAAATTAGTCCAGTATTTTATTAGAAAACGTCCTTCTATACAAAATCCCCATCGTTATGACAGCAACAATATTTGATACTGAAAAAATGCTGAGCAGGTGCTGAAATGATCAATAAATCCTAGATATTCGAATTCTATACTAATCTTTTGATTCTATCAATAGTTTTTTTTTTCTAAAGAATATTATTATGCACAAAACTTTGTTGTGTTTTATCTAAGAAGATAAAATTTCAAAATATTTCTATTTAAATTAATACATATTGTCATGTAATAGAAAATGAATCGATGTTGAAATTCTTTCCTTGTATAGAAAAATACTTCATCTATCGGAAATTTTCAAATAGTTTAACAGAGAAATTACTTTTTTGTCGAATAATATAAATTAAAAACTTTAACTTACCGATTAGTTTAATCAAAATTAAAAAATAATTTTTTTTTCACCGTTGTAAAATTTTTCTCATGGAAAATCTCCGATATCGTTCTCGTAGAATTAATTAACATATTGTTTATATTTAGGTGATCATATATATGAACAGATTAAAAAATTGGGATCTTCATGTGATTGGACACGTCAAGTATTTACTATGGATAAAGATATGTCATATGCTGTAGAAGAAGCATTTATTAGAATGCATGAAAAAAAACTTATCTATCGTTCATTACGATTGGTTAATTGGTCATGTGCACTCAAATCAGCGATTTCTGATATTGAAGTATAGATCTTTATTGTGTGAATATGAAATCAGTACTATTTGTTCGTTTCTATTTTGATTAATATTTTAGGTTGAGAAGGTACAATTGAAAGGTCGCACATTACTTTCTATTCCTGGTTACAATGATCTTATTGAGTTTGGCATGTTGATCGAATTTGCATATCCTGTCGAGAATTCGAGTAAGAATTATTTTTCTTATCATAGAAAACGGTAATAGAGTTGTTCCACTAGAAACTTTTCACTTTATTTCATGAGACTTTATATCAGTTTTTCTCGAAAAGATCTCGAAGTAATATTTATATTTACTGGTTTTATTCGAAGACAGTACGAAAAATAGTTACGAAATAAAACGAATATTTTTAGTTTTATAGATTTCTAAAAAGTTATCCAAATATAAAATTTACATCTATACATCATATTCTATGAAGATTTGTATTTTTTATTCTGACAAAAAAAACATTTAAGTATCATATATCTATGTGCGGAATTCGAATTATTTTCTATATTTCGAGCTAAAATATAAGAGTATAAAATGCAGATAACAGTTGTCATCGAATGCTATTAGATAGCGATTGATTAGCTAAAAAGAAAGAAAAAAATATCATAACAATAATTGAAATTTCGTATCATCTTTTGCTGATAGTTACCGTTTGAATTACTGAAAATTTCAACATTGCTACATGCATGTTTTTGTATAAGATGAGGAAATTTCTGATGAAACTATCCAATCATATGAAAAAGAACAACTAGAACCTTATGACATTGACATCGGTGTTTTTTTGTATTTGTTTTCCAAGAATGCAGTGCAAAATCGAATTAATTATACCATAGTTTCAGAGTCAAATCTAATTGAATTACATGTAGATAAAATAAATCCTTTTTCTAAATATTTGAGCATCAAAATGCAATCACATGCAAAGCAGCTGAAATATAGAAGTCGCGTATATCTTTAAACTTTATCTTGATGCTTATTTTTAAACTGTATAATAGGTTTTTTTCGGAATATCTACAAAAGCATTAATATAAAATGCACGTCAAATGTGTCGTACCACTTCTTTCTTTCGAGCCGTATATTAAAAGTATTCAATATAGTTCAAATTTTTTTTTTAAATAAAATAATACAAAACAAACTTTTCTATCACAAAGCAAAAGACATAAAAAGCTACAAAATCAGTTTATTTTTGTGAGCTTATGAAGATGATTTGATAGAAATAGACAATCTTTATACATATTTTGGCCATATTGTGAGTGTGAACATTGATTAGAAAAAGAAAAATATCTACACTCATGCCGACAACGATTCCCAATCGTGCCCACATTCCATATCCACGGGCTCCACACCCACATCAATACTCATTTCATACTCCATCCTACACACTTCTGGTATTACATATAAACAAACTATGTATAAAGATTGTCCATTTCTATTAAACCATCTTCATAAATTCACAAAAATAAACTGATTTTGTAGCTTTTTATGTTTTTTTGCTTTGTGATAGAAAAATTTGTTTTATATTGAAGAATATTACTTTTTAAACAGATGTATACATTTAGTACTCGATCTCGATTAAAAAACAAATTTGAATTATATTGGATATTTTTAATATACGGCTCAAAAGAAAAAAGTGGTATGACACTTTTGATGTCCACTGTATTATATAAAATCTAAAGCCTTTTATATGCAGTTGCTGAAGTCCACAAGGGAAAACGTGAGTAGTCGCCCAAAACTTGAGCTTAAAACTTACAGGCACTATTTTTTTTCACGAAAAATAGTCCTGAACATTTGCTTTTAAGTTTACCATATTTGATTGAAAAATACTTCGTTCAAAGAACGTAAATTTCAGTAAAAAATAGTGCTTTTCTTTTTATATGATATGTAATCATTTTTCAGCAATGCATGCTTTCTGAAACAGAAGAATATTACATAATCAGTGTACTATTGCAAGAAATACAGATTGTTATTTGATTTTCTTCATTTCAAAATCTACTCAAGAACTAAATTCTAAAATCTGAGAACCACTTATTTACATACAAAAAAAATCTTTTATTTGATATGTTTAGATGAAGAAATCGTTGTGGCTACAACTCGTATTGAAACAATGCTTGGTGATACAGTTATTGCTGTTCATCCAGACGATGTTCGTTTTAAACATTTACATGGAAAGTTTGTTCAACATCCATTTGTTTCACGACGTTTACCGATCATCACTGATACTATGGTCGATCCACAATTTGGTTCAGGTGCTGTTAAAATAACACCAGGACATGATCCAAATGATTTTGAATGTGGACGTCGTCATTCATTGCCATTTATTACATGTATTACAGATGATGGACGAATGTCATCAGAATGTGGTTCATATTCTGGTCAACTTCGTTATCATGTTCGTGTTCAACTTTTAAATGATTTAAAACAACTTAATCTATATCGAGGTTCAAAAGAACGAGAAATGATACTTTCGATTTGTAGTCGAAGTGGAGATATTATTGAGCCACTACTCAAACCGCAATGGTATGTTAATTGCAATACAATGGCTAAACGTTCAATTGAAGTTGTACGAACAAAACAACTACAAATTTTACCAAGTAATTTCGAACCAGTTTGGTATAAATGGTTAGAAGATATTCATGATTGGTGTATTTCACGACAATTATGGTGGGGTCATCGAATTCCATCTTATTTTATTAGTTCCGATGATATTCCTGAAGGAAATGAGATGGATGATAAATATTGGGTTAGTGCTCATTCACAAGAAGAAGCATTAGAAAAAGCAACTCAAAGATTTAATATTTCGAAAGAAAAAATTCGTTTACAACAAGGTAATTTTATCAAAATAAATTCTCTTTATTTATTGAAAATAATTTCATTAATGATATATAGATATATAGATCAGAAATTTGTAGAGGAAAAAAAACATGATAAAAATATACATGGATATAGTTTTTTCAAACTATTATTAACCTCTGAAATTGTATTGAATTTTTATTTTGGAAGTTTGGAATTAATGAATGATTATAGTAATAAAGAAAAACTAAACATAGTCGACCGAAAGATTTTTTTTATGAATTTATTTTTATTATTATTATTATTAGATGAAGATGTTCTTGATACTTGGTTTTCATCAGGTATATTTCCATTTTCTTCTTTTGGTTGGCCATTGGAAACGAATGACTTAAAAAGATTCTTTCCAACAACATTACTCGAAACTGGTCATGATATTCTTTTCTTTTGGGTTGCACGAATGGTAATGATGTCACTTGAACTAACTGATTGTTTACCATTTACAAAAGTTTATTTACATGCTATTATTCGTGATGCACATGGACGTAAAATGTCGAAAACATTAGGTAATGTTATTGATCCACTTGATGTTATTAATGGTATTACACTAGAAAAACTCAATGAAAAATTAAGAAATTCGAATCTTCATCCAAAAGAATATGAACGAGCACGACAAGATCAACAAAATGATTATCCAAATGGTATACCAGAATGTGGTACGGATGCATTACGTTTTGCTTTTTGTGCTTATGCCAATCAAGGTTTGATCATTTTTTTTTGTTTCAGAAAATTGACTTATGAAAGTTATTTACTTTTTTAAAATATATTTCATAGCGCGAGATATCAATTTGGATGTATTACGTATTGAAGGTTATCGACGATTTTGTAATAAAATTTGGCATGCTATGAGATTTGCTATGGCAAAGAATTTAGATATCAATGATCCGAACTGTTTTCAACCACCAGAACAATTCAAAGTAAATTGAAAACGAGAAATTCCTTCAATAGTTAAAAAAAACATGATCCTTACTCTCAATCCAAAAATGTAAAACGCTAATTAGTTTGTTCACACTCTTCCAATAGTGAACAGATAGAACCTATTCGTCCAGAATTATTGAGTTTTGCCTAGAGGTAAAAAGTTACCATTACCGAGTAACGATCTGAGAACCTTAACTTCCCATCTCTACTTTTGTCAATTTTGAATCAAAATTTAATGAAATATTTTTCAAGATCTTGAGTGTGAGTGTGGATATAGATGGGTGTTGAAATTATTCTCATCTCAAACAATATTCACACCCCAGAAAAGGGACATTTCACATCAAATTGTCATTATGATCTTCTAGTGTCAGAGTCCGTTACAATTTCCGAACTAAAAATAAAAGAAGACAGAATGTTCCATAATTAGATGTACGGAAGTTCGGAAATAGCAAAAGCAGAATGTTTGTAATGAGCGAAATGTCCGCAACATCTTTATAACGTTGTAATAACATGTTTGATGGTATTTATCTATATTAAAAATGAGTATTTTATAGTACATTATGGCTATGTATCACTTATTCTTGCTTGAGAAAGGTTTAGATTCACAAAAATAAAGAAAATTCTTCCCTAAAATCAACACTAAAAATATCGATGAAAATTATGAAACTTTTTTGCAATCTTTGAGATACATCGTTGACATGTTGCATAAATGCTCTTCTTCATTCGACAAACATCTAAAACAAAATTTTTTTATCACGTATTTCTCCAAAAAGATTTTGTGTTCAATTCTGTAATATTTCATATTTGCCTGAGAAACACATCACATTTAATATAATTTCGTTGGAAGAGTGACACTAATCTATTGAAATAATAAAATTGTCACTTTATGTCAGCGATAAATCGGAGAAAAGATGAATTTTCATCATAATAATTAAAAATTTAAAAGTCTAATTTTTTCTATCAGAAAATCAAATAATGGGAAAATTCCGTAACGGATAATATTTTTCAACTTTCTTAATTCAATTGAGTAATATTTGTGAAAATATGAACTAACATTTCGAAAGTTTGGAAAGTTAAAGAATGTTATATACAGAAAGTGTACTTATATCTCACTTCAGTGTAGAATAAAACGCTTAACTTTAAAGTCACTGTTAAAAAACAGTTCGTTTTTTCAAATTTTGTAACGCTCAGTATTTCATCAATAGCTCAATTAAAGTAAATTAAAAAAAAGACGATGAAAATTTATTTGTATTCATGACGAATTATACGTGTTACAATATGAAAAAATGAGATTTCGTGATGCGTAACCATGCCGAGTAGAAAACTAATTGGCTCATTAGCTTGACATATATGCATCTTATGTTTTTAAAGTAAGAAATAATTGAATTACTCTAAAGAATCAAATCTTCCTTTTTAGTTATAAAATCCTATAATATAATTATTTTGCCTAAAATACAATTATTATGATCAATTATTAAAATTTTTAATGCTTTGCTCATTCTAAATAGTTTGTTTTTAGATAGTAGAAAAATAAATTTTAATAAATTCATACAAAAGTCTTCAAATCTATATATTTTAGTTATCAGGTACCGAAAAACTATGTGATCTCTGGATATTAAGTCGTCTTAGTTATGCTATTGAACAATGTGAAATAGGATTTACTAATTATCAATTTCCACAAGTTACTACAGCTATTTATAATTTTTGGTTTTATGAACTTTGCGACGTTTATATAGAATATATTAAACAAGATTTTTGTGCTACTAATATCGATTCTCAACGACAAGAAATTATAAAACTTATTTTATATATATGTTTGAATAATGGACTCAAACTATTAGCACCTATCATGCCATATATAACTGAAGAACTTTATCAACGTTTACCTCAACCAAAACAGGATCAACCATTACCACCTAGTCTCTGTGTTACACCTTATCCACAATCAATACAAGTAACATTTCATGTTTCTTCATTTGATTCTTTCTCTCATTTACGTAATTTATTTTGTTAATTAGTTCAAAGAATTTCGTAATGAACGAATTGATTCAAATATGAATATGATTAATGATTCAATAAGTAGAATTCGTTCATATCGCACCGCGCATAAACTCATTTCGAAACAGAAAGACAGTCGTAAGTTTCTTCTTTCGATTTCTATGATTAATTGTATATACTATCTATTTATATTATTTTAGTTTATATTCGGACATCTCCATCAAATACAATTCTCTTTTCTGAATATAAAGATTTACTTCAGCGACTGGGTAATATCAATGATATTTATATGCTTGATAATGATTTCAACATCGATCAATCATATACAACAGTGACAACAACATCTGATTATATATTCTATTTTATTTCGACAACATCACCCTAAATATTTTATATACAGGGTGAACCAAAAGTCTTGGGCCCTCATAGAAAAATTTCTTTTTCTCCGCCATAGTAAATCCAAATATGCTCAAATTCGGAGGTATAATCTATGAGACTTAGTTGAATATTATCTCAAATTTTCGTGACTGTAGCTCTAATTATAAGGGAGATACATAAGCTTGAAGTAGGGATATGGTTTTTTTACCCAGGACGCAAATGCACTTTTGTCATAAAAAAAAGACCTACAATAAATAATTTTTATCATAAATACAATAGCAAATAATACAAAAATTCATATGTTCAAATGCTGTTATAGTCCTCTTTGTTGATTGAATAACCTTTC